CATTCACAAACTTTATAATAATATACGGGGTGGTCCAAAATTTAGCTGTCCCACATCGAAATATTTTTTTTTTTTTGGGTGGATAACATTTAATATGCTGCACCAATCTCGTTGTGACTAATTTGTAAGTCTGTGTGCTATGTCTATGCATTAATCGCTTCCGGTTTGAAACTGTTGAAAATTAAACAAAATTAATACATATTCTCGAGCAACTAACTTTTTCACCACCACGATAAAAAAAAAAAAAGATCTGTCAGTTAGTAATGCAGAAGAATAAGTTGAAATTATGAGGCACGAAAATGAAAGCTTTTAGGAGCCGAGTTTAGTAAAACCATTGAAGTGATAAAAAAATTTTATCCTTCCGCTGTCAAGCTTGTTATAAAGAATTTTCACGAGCATTTGAAACTGTTAATGTGTCGTTTTGAATTCTAATATTGCTTTTCTCTATCTCATATTCTTTAGCTTAATTCTTAACCTTAGTTCATGATGGTGGATTGGGAACAAACCTCCAGTTAAAGCAGACCCTCTTATAAATTAGCAAGGTAAATCAGATCTGTTTGTCCTCTGTAAACTTTCCAGGTTCTATTGTCTGTTGGGTACGGCAAAAGAGCGACAGACGATGATAGATATTCAAGGTAATAAATGCAAGAATTGGTATCCGTATTGGACAACCAATTGCTCATGGGTGCTTTACTTACCAACTCAATGACGATTTTTTTTACTGAGGTATATGTTTCTTCTTTGGACATTAACTAGGTTTTAGTAACAATATCCTGCAGTCAACATAGAAAAAAGGTTGAAAGGAGATACATCCCCGTCCCACCAAACATGCTCGCCCTTTCAGCCGTGGGGGCGTTATAATGTGACAGTCAATCCCACTATTCGTTGGTAAAAGAGTAGCCCAAGAGTTTGCGGTGGGTGGTGATGACTAGCTGCCTTCCGTCTAGTCTTACACTGCTAAATTATGGACAGCTAGCGCAAATAGCCCTCGTGTAGCTTTGCGCAAAATTCAAAACAAACAAACAAACAAACAAAGGAGATACTTTCCATCACAGATCCAACTATTCCCTCGTAATCATATCATTGGTTCTGCAAACGAGAAGAGTCATAGAAAAATATGATCTATCATAGATGGCCATTTGATTCGGTTCTCTTTCAAAACATCGTCCGTATGATAAGGTTAAAAATCCAATTAAAAGAAGCAAACAATCTCTCATACTTAAAAGAACGTCTAGAAACCTTAGCTCAAGTTCTTATTTATCTTTGATCAAACCATGTTAACTTTACTAAATACAAAAATAAAATAAAATAAAACGGGAAACTACTAGTCAGATGATTTTAATTCCGTTATTTAATTGTTTG